GGAACGAGGAAGCTCGTCGATCAAAGAAATTTCTTAGCGATTCTATTGTCGAATCGAACTAAACCCTAGAATGGTTTCCTGATTTGTGTGTACTCTCTCTTCTTTGGTATTGCTGATTGATTCTGTGAATTTCACGAGATTCAATCTCGAATTCTGCTTGATTCGAGTCTATAAATCTTATAATTTGTTGAATTTTTCTTTATTAGGGATCTATTCTTGTTGAAACGTGATGAAGTCTGGTAGTGCGGCGAAATTGATAGTAGAGGCGTTGCTTCAGCGGTTCCTGCCTCTCGCAAGACGGCGAATCGAAACAGCTCAGGCTCAGGTTCGTCTCCTTCTCAATAAGCTTTTTGGTTTTTTAATATCTTACACATTTGAATATATATGTTGTTTAATTCGTTCACTGCTTCAAGGTTTTCGTTTCTGTTTGTTGTGTAGTTTCCTTATCAATAGTTGAAACTTAGTCTTGAGTAGGGTTTAATGGAAGTATCACATTGAATTGGGAATAATCGAGGACTAGTATCACATTCTTTTTTGACACCAGTCTTTGGGAGTGATATGGTTCTTGGTGGTGATGTTTTCAGGATGGACAATACCTTCGTCCATCAGATCCTGCTTATGAGCAGGTGCTCGATTCCTTGGCGATGATTGCGCGTCACACACCTGTTCCTCTTTTAGAAGCTCTACTTAGATGGAGGGAGAGGTGGGTAAATTCTGTTCCTCGTAGTGTTAACAAATTAGATGGTATCTGACTCTTGTCCAAATGAAATACGTGCCACAGGGTACTATCTCTGCATCTTGCATTAATTTAGATCGAATCATTGATCTTCCATGTTTCAGTGTTGCTTTTGGACTCTTTGGTGCATTATCGTAATTTTTTAGGTGGATATCACTTTTTTCTTCATATAGGTGAAGTTATTGAGTTAATGTAATCTACGATTGGGCGAAGCCATTTCTCGACCGTTTTTTGATATTGCGTTTGTTGGGCTTATATCTGCCTTGCAGTGAATCACCTAAAGGTGCAAATGATGCATCGACTTTCCAGAGAAAGGTATTTTCTTTTGACTCTTCACAGGAACAAGTGCTTCGGTTTTAGTAACTATGTGCACTAGATCCAACTGAACACACTGTTAAACTCTTTTTTTTCTCTGTTTCTTACCACTCTTACCTCCCTTTAAGAACACTGATATCCATGGTTTTATTTAATCAATTTTTGAAATTGGTTTTTAGTTTTCTGATATATGGTTTTTACATTACTGGAATCAGTTGGCTGTTGAGTGCATCTTCTGCTCAGCTTGTATTCGCTTTGTGGAGTGTTGCCCACAGGAAGGGCTCACTGGTTTGTTATTTTCTCTATTCAGTTTCTTTCCAACAAAATGTGTATACTGCCTTGCTAAAAGAAAAACATTTTCCGTGAATGGCAGAGAAGCTATGGTCTGGACTTGAGAATTTTGTTTTTGATTGGCTAATTAACGCTGACAGGTAGTGATTTCAGAATCTTGAGATGTTGAAAATCATATGGTTCGCTAAGCATTATGCTTGATTCTTTGGCCTGCCTTTACGAGTTGTAAAAAGCTAATTTGATCAAGTTCTCGGGTGCTCCTCCGTTACAGGGTTGTTAGCCAAGTGGAATACCCATCGCTGGTCGATTTGAGGGGTCTCCTTCTTGACTTGGTTGCTCAACTGCTGGGTGCACTATCCCGTATTAGGTATTCATGTTGTAATGTTAGTTATTAACAATCCTCTTAGAATACTAAAGTATAAATTAAAAAAATAGGTGGAATTACATTCACTAGTTCAGTTGGCAGGAAAGAACTTTTAAAAGCAGTGTCCAGTTTTAATCCACGACCTCAACCACTCTAATACATTTATTACTATGATTTTTCACTTACAGATTCAGCTCTGTCACTGAGCGGTTTTTCATGGAACTCAATACTCGCCGGATTGACACAAGTGTTGCAAGAAGTGAAACTCTCAGCATCATTAATGGGATGCGATACTTGAAGCTTGGAGTATGTCTCTAATCTCTTAGAAAATACAAGCTTCAGGAAGCGAACGTGACATTATGTTTATTTCAGGTTAAGAGTGAGGGTGGGCTAAATGCGTCTGCATCCTTTGTAGCGAAAGCAAACCCTCTTAACCGTGCTCCACACAAACGTAAAAGTGAGCTTCATCATGCACTTTGCAATATGCTTTCTAACATCCTGGCACCACTTTCCGATGGTGGCAAAAGTCAGTGGCCTCCATCAGTTGCAGAGCCTGCGCTGACACTCTGGTATGAGGCTGTTGGACGCATTAGAGTGCAGCTAATCCATTGGATGGAGAAACAGAGCAAGCATCTTGGTGTACGTCAGTCTGATTAAATATCACTTTATCATGTTTTCCTTGTGATTTCAGTCCTTAACATCTATAATTGGGCAAATAGGTTGGCTATCCGCTTGTGACTCTTCTTCTCTGTCTCGGTGACCCGCTTATATTTCATCATAATCTAAGCTCTCACATGGAGCAATTGTACAAGCTTCTGAGAGTAAGTTTTCCTGTACTCAGAATCTAAATTAAGTAAGAATGCACAAGAGCAATTGTCACGCTCCCCTCCCTGATGTGTGCAGCTGTAATTTAATCATCTTCTTTTTTAAGCATGTTGAGGTCCTGTGACTACATTAGCTTCTTTTTCAAGCCTATTCGTGGTAATATATATATATTGGTTTCACTCATTATAGTGTATACTGCACATTATGCAGGATAAGAATCATCGCTACATGGCACTTGATTGCCTTCACCGGGTGTTGAAGTTTTATTTGAGTGTCTATGCTGCTACCCAGCCACCAAATCGTATATGGGATTACTTGGATAGTGTGACATCACAATTGCTAACAGTTCTGAGAAAAGGAATGCTCACTCAGGATGTCCAACAAGACAAACTCGTTGAGTTCTGTGTGACCATAGCTGAACATAACCTTGACTTTGCCATGAATCACATGTTACTAGAACTGTTAAAGCAAGATAGTCCAAGTGAAGCCAAGATTATTGGTCTTCGTGCTTTGCTTGCTCTTGTTATGTCACCTTCAAGCCAGTATGTTGGCTTGGAAATATTTAAGGGTAACCTGTTAACCTGATTTAGTTCGTTAGTTGGTCTCAGTAACTTTTCCTTTCATACATTTAACTTTTCTTAGTTTTTTCTGAACAGGTCATGGAATTGGCCATTACATACCAAAGGTGAAAGCAGCAATTGAGTCAATTTTGAGATCCTGCCACAGGACCTATAGTCAAGCTCTTCTAACATCGTCGAAGACTACAATAGGTAAATTTAATTTACGCAAAAAGCTTAGTCTGATGTGCATGGTTTTATGGGGTGGGAAGGTTAAAAGATCACTATATGCCATGTGAATTTTAGTGTGATTGCTTTTCTGAATTTTAGTGTGATTACCTGGGATTTTTTGGCAAAACTTTCTCCTGAAAATATTTCTTGCTAACCTTCAAGACACATGCAGATGCTGTGAATAAAGAAAAGTCTCAAGGATCTCTCTTCCGTTCAGTGCTGAAATGCATACCTTACCTGATAGAGGAAGTTGGACGGAGTGATAAGATCACGGAAATAATACCTCAGCATGGTATAAGTATTGATCCTGGAGTTCGAGAGGAAGCGGTACAGGTCCTGAACCGGATTGTTAGATACCTTCCTCATCGCCGTTTTGCAGTAATGAGAGGGATGGCAAACTTCATCTTAAAGCTTCCTGATGAGTTCCCACTCCTCATTCAAACATCACTAGGACGCCTATTGGAACTTATGCGTTTCTGGAGGGCTTGTTTAGTAGACGACAGACAAGATACTGATGCTGAAGAGGAAAAGCAAGTAGCAAAGGGAAATGATAGGTTCAAGAAATTATCTTTTCATCAAGCAGCAGATGCAATTGAGTTTCGCGCTGCTGATATTGATGCTGTTGGCCTAATTTTTCTTAGTTCAGTCGACAGCCAGATTCGGCATACTGCGCTAGAATTATTGCGATGTGTACGTGCATTGAGAAATGATATTCGAGATCTCATGATTCAAGAGCACCCAGACCATGTTATGAAATTTGAAGCTGAACCCATATACATGATCGATGTCTTAGAAGAACATGGGGTTAGTACCTTCTTTGTATATCTCATTCTTTCAGAGGCTTGACATTTTAAGCCTTTAGTTTTTGCCCAGAAAAGGTTTGGCTCTATGAAAAGTTTAAGATTGTATCCTTTTTCTCTTTGTTCATATAATAGGATGATATTGTTCAAAGTTGCTACTGGGATTCTGCCCGTCCATTTGATTTAAGACGAGATTCCGATGCCATTCCTTCCGATGTAACTCTTCAATCCATAATCTTTGAGAGCCCTGATAAGAACAGATGGGGTCGGTGTCTCAGCGAGCTTGTTAAATATGCTGCTGAGCTCTGCCCACGCTCTGTTCAAGAAGCCAAGTAAGTATATCTGCTAGCTGCATTATCCTGTGTGTTTGCTCCTAGTATTTTTTTTCCTAACAACATAATCCTTGATGTGTTTTCTTGAGTCATGTTGAATTTTTTTGTTACCTTCTTTTCTGATCGTCAACACTGTCCTAAATCATTCAAGACTGGCAAAAGTCTATAAGGATTAAAATAGTTGGCTTTATGGGTCAACAAGCCTTCAAAAAAGTGTATACCCTAGTTTAACGTACTGATAAAAAAGTTCTTTAATGTGGGAATTTAAGAGTTTTCTCCCATGAAAGGAAAATACTCATGACAAAAAAAATCTATTTATACAAGCACTAGTGCTTTTTGCACAAACACTCTTTGTTTTCATTTTATTGCTATACCTCTTTTGCTACTATAAATTAACATGAAGGAAACTAAGGTGCTCTTTTCATCTCCAGGTCTGAAATTATGCATCGCCTTGCTTATATTACACCTGTTGAGTTAGGTGGAAAGGCTAGCCAGTCACAAGATACAGATAACAAACTGGATCAGTGGCTTCTGTATGCTATGTTTGTGTGTTCGTGTCCACCTGATGGCAAAGATGCGGGTAGCATTGCATCAACCAGAGACATGTACCACCTTATTTTTCCTTATCTTAGGTTTGGGTCAGATACCCACAACGTAAGTATTTTTTTTTGCGTCTCTGCGATTTTTGTTTGATGTTGGTAGTTTTGTCAGTATTTAAAACTTACTTGTCTTGTTCGCTCCCTGTAGTTTTGGTTGAACTTTTTTCTCCTACATAAATTTCTTAACAATCTTTACTTTATATTTTCTCGCATGTAGCATGCTGCAACTATGGCTCTCGGGCGCTCACATCTTGAAGCATGTGAAATTATGTTTAGCGAGCTAGCATCTTTCATGGATGATATTTCATTAGAGACAGAGACGAAGCCGAAGTGGAAGGTATATACTTGAGCAAATTGTAGTAAATCTTGTTGTTTAAATTCGTTCAGAATTATACCTGCAATTTCTCCCTGTCCAAAGTAGGTGATTCTCTATGTAACTGTCTGGCTGCACAGATTCATGGTGGTACTCCTTATCACTTTAGAAGGATTAGAAAACTTTCTTCTTGATTCTGCAAAAACTAGCTAAGCAAAAGGATCGAGAAAACGTGAGAACAAATAAGGGCAATCTCATGGATGAAAAGTACTATAAGTCACTGCCATTATTTGTACCCTCTATGTGGCTTTATCAAGCTTCATGTTGAGCTTCAGGGCATATTATGTTAGAATTTCCCTGGGTTTAGTTGCTTATAGTAATCCTTCCCCTTGAATTAGAGTTGAGGTGGATTGTACTAATAAGATTTGGCAAAGTTTTTCTGTGAACATGAAATCAATGACCGTCTGTTTCTTCTTCACCATTTTCCTTACATTGATTTCCGGATGCATTAAAAATATTGGGACTTGACATTAAAAAGATGTATGCTTGTGATATGAATGCAGATCCAAAAAGGAGGTCGAAGAGAGGACCTTCGTGCTCATGTTGCAAATATATATCGAACAGTGTCTGAGAATGTGTGGCCTGGAATGCTTGCTCGTAAACCAGTTTTCCGCCTCCATTATTTGAGGTTCATTGAAGATTCAACAAGACACATATCGTCGGCACCTCCTGAAAGCTTTCAGGACATGCAGCCTCTGCGCTATGCACTTGCGTCTGTTTTAAGATTCCTTGCCCCTGAATTTGTTGATTCAAAATCAGAGAAATTTGATGTTAGAAGTAGGAAACGTCTGTTCGATCTGCTCCTTTCTTGGTCTGATGATACAGGAAGTTCGTGGGGACAGGATATTGTTAGTGATTATCGCCGTGAAGTTGAGCGCTATAAGACCTCGCAGCATAACCGGTCAAAAGATTCTGTAGACAAGATTTCTTTTGACAAGGAACTAAATGAGCAAATTGAAGCCATCCAGTGGGCCTCGTTGAATGCAATGGCTTCCCTTCTATATGGACCATGTTTTGATGACAATGCAAGAAAAATGAGTGGCCGTGTAATATCTTGGATAAATAGTTTATTCATTGAGCCTGCTCCCAGGGTCCCTTTTGGTTACTCGCCTGCTGATCCGAGAACTCCATCTTACTCCAAGTTCGCAGGAGAAGGTGGAAGAGGGACAACAGGCCGTGATAGGCATAGAGGTGGTCATCAACGTGTTGCGTTGGCAAAATTGGCTTTGAAAAATCTTCTACTTACAAACTTAGATCTTTTCCCTGCCTGCATTGATCAGGTAAACTTCTCTCAGACTGAATGCATGGACGTTGTGTTTAATTTGACTGTATTTGTGGTAATTACTAGATTAAATGTCTGATTTACCTTGACCAATGACAGCTTAGCCATGCAATAATGGTTTCCGTATCAAATAGATTTTGTCAGCATCTGAATTCTCTTAATAAGCTTCTTTCACTTCTATGCCTTGCTCATTCATGTGACTTCATCCTTATTGGACTCTTTTAAACGACATGAACTAATACATCTGTGCTTTTCCCAGTGTTACTACTCTGATGCGGCTATAGCTGATGGGTACTTCAGTGTGTTGGCGGAGGTCTACATGCGACAAGAAATACCAAAATGTGAAATCCAGAGGCTCTTGAGTCTAATTCTCTACAAGGTAGTCGATCCATCTAGACAAATTCGTGATGATGCTCTTCAAATGCTTGAGACACTTTCTATGCGTGAGTGGGCCGAGGATGGTATAGAAGGTTCAGGAGGCTATAGAGCAGCGGTTGTAGGTAATCTTCCGGATTCTTATCAACAGTTCCAGTACAAGCTCTCCTGCAAACTCGCCAAGGATCATCCTGAGTTAAGCCAGCTCCTTTGTGAAGAAATTATGCAGCGTCAGCTTGATGCTGTTGATATAATTGCTCAGCATCAGGTCTTGACCTGTATGGCTCCATGGATTGAGAACCTTAATTTCTGGAAGCTCAAGGATTCTGGGTGGAGTGAAAGATTACTAAAAAGTCTTTACTATGTCACATGGCGACACGGGGATCAGTTCCCTGATGAAATTGAAAAACTTTGGAGTACTATTGCTAGTAAGCCCAGAAACATTAGCCCTGTATTGGATTTCTTGATCACAAAGGGCATTGAGGACTGTGATTCAAATGCATCTGCCGAAATAACTGGTGCATTTGCTACATATTTTTCAGTTGCTAAACGTGTAAGTTTGTACCTTGCACGGATATGTCCTCAGCGTACTATTGATCACCTGGTTTACCAACTGTCACAGCGGATGCTGGAAGACAGTATTGAACCCATTGGTTATGGTGTGAGCCGGGGTGATTCCAATGGAAATTTTGTGCTGGAGTTCTCTCAGGGACCTGCCACAGCACCTCAAGTTGCTTCAGTTGCAGACAGCCAGCCACACATGTCTCCACTTCTTGTCCGAGGCTCCCTTGATGGTCCCCTTAGGAATACAAGTGGAAGCCTAAGCTGGAGAACAGGCGTGACTGGTCGAAGTGCTTCTGGGCCTTTAAGTCCAATGCCTCCAGAGTTGAACATTGTTCCTGTAGCTACGGGTCGTTCTGGTCAGCTCCTGCCATCATTGGTGAATGCATCAGGGCCGTTAATGGGAGTCAGGAGCTCTACAGGAAGTTTGAGGAGTCGCCATGTCTCACGTGATAGTGGAGATTACCTCATTGATACACCAAATTCTGGGGAAGATGTGCTGCATTCTGGGATCGCAATGCACGGTGTCAATGCTAAGGAACTCCAATCAGCCTTGCAGGGACATCAACAGCACTCACTCACTCATGCCGATATAGCTCTGATTCTACTTGCAGAAATCGCGTACGAGAATGATGAAGATTTTAGGGAACATTTGCCTTTGCTCTTCCACGTCACTTTTGTTTCTATGGATAGCTCTGAAGACATTGTGCTAGAGCATTGTCAACATTTGCTTGTGAATTTGTTGTACTCGCTTGCGGGTCGGCATTTGGAGTTATATGAGGTGGAAAATAGCGATGGAGAGAACAAACAACAAGTTGTGAGTTTAATTAAGTATGTGCAATCAAAACGAGGGAGCATGATGTGGGAGAATGAAGATCCAACAGTTGTGAGAACAGATCTTCCTAGTGCTGCTCTTTTGTCTGCACTTGTTCAGAGTATGGTTGATGCTATATTCTTCCAAGGAGATCTCCGAGAAACTTGGGGAACTGAAGCTCTCAAATGGGCTATGGAATGCACTTCAAGACATCTAGCCTGTCGGTCACACCAAATATACCGTGCGCTACGGCCAAGTGTGACAAGTGATGCATGTGTCTCCCTTCTACGCTGTCTTCATCGATGTCTTAGCAATCCCATTCCTCCAGTTTTGGGTTTTATTATGGAAATCCTTCTGACGCTACAGGTCATGGTAGAGAACATGGAGCCAGAGAAAGTCATACTCTACCCACAACTCTTCTGGGGGTGTGTCGCCATGATGCACACAGACTTTGTCCATGTCTACTGCCAGGTTCTTGAGCTCTTTTCCCGTATTATTGACCGACTATCATTCCGTGACAAAACAACCGAAAACGTTCTCTTGTCGAGTATGCCTCGGGATGAATTCAACTCTAATGATTTGGGGGAATTCCAAAGGACAGAATCTAGAGGATACGAGATGCCACCGTCAAGTGGAACTCTGCCGAAGTTTGAAGGTGTACAACCTCTTGTCCTTAAAGGACTAATGTCTACTGTTAGCCACGAGTTTTCCATTGAGGTCCTATCAAGGATTACAGTGCCTTCATGTGACTCTATATTTGGCGACGCCGAGACAAGACTCCTTATGCATATCACAGGTCTACTTCCTTGGCTTTGCTTGCAGCTGAGCCAAGACCAAGTCATGGTTTCTGCATTACCACTCCAGCAGCAGTACCAAAAGGCATGCTCTGTGGCATCTAACATTGCTATCTGGTGTCGGGCGAAATCGCTTGATGAATTGGCTACGGTTTTCGTCGCTTATGCTAGAGGCGAGATTAAACGAGTCGATAATCTCCTTGCTTGCGTCTCTCCTCTGCTCTGCAACAAATGGTTCCCAAAACACTCAGCTTTAGCTTTTGGTCACTTGTTAAGAATGCTAAAGAAAGGACCAGTGGACTACCAACGAGTCATATTACTTATGCTCAAGGCGTTGCTCCAACACACTCCCATGGATGCTTCACAGAGTCCTCACATGTACACAATCGTTTCGCAGTTAGTCGAAAGCACTCTGTGTTGGGAAGCATTGAGTGTTCTCGAAGCCCTTCTTCAGAGCTGCAGCCCGGTACAAGGCGGTGGTTCCCACCCTCAGGATTCCGGTTACTTTGAAAACGGGACTGATGAGAAAACGCTTGTACCTCAGACTTCATTCAAAGCCCGAAGCGGACCTCTTCAGTACACAATGATGGCTGCAACAATGTCGCAAGCTTTTCCTCTCAGTGCGGCTGCAGCAGAGTCAGGGATACCTCCGAGAGATGTGGCTTTGCATAACACAAGACTATTATTGGGTCGGGTTCTTGATAATTGTGCTCTAGGAAGAAGAGATTACAGAAGATTGGTGCCTTTTGTCACAACGATCGCAAACATGTAAGCCTTTTCTTTTCAGTAAATTTTTGTAAGTTTTCTTTCAGTAAATGTTTTGTAACTTTTTAAAAATTATTTTGAGAAGTTTTCAAGAGGCAAATGTGTTTGTGTGTGAATAGTGTTTCGTGTGACTAACTTGTAATCAAATCGAATCTGGTTAAGCTCAGTTGCAACAATCCAGTGCCCGTTTTTGTAACATAGTACACAACACCCTCTATGAACTCTTTTCCAGCAAAAGGATATCACGAACCCTTTTTTTATTTTTTGTAGACATAAACAATAGTAATAGTATAGTGCTAAACATCGACATTTAGAAGCAAGCAGATAAAGTGAAACTGGTTTTACAAAAATATGGTTACCTAATATAATATTTTAAGATTTCTCAAAACCAAAATTATGAGAGGGTGTCATGTGTCATCTAATTTTTTGATTTTGGAATTTTAATTTATTTATTAAAAATGAAATTTAAATGTCTTTTAATAACTTTATCAATTAGTTCTAACAATATGTAATTCTTATGTAAATTAATTCCAACAAATTATATTTAAGTGTCTTATGCATATTTATGTAATTCTTATGTAAATATATGTATATAAAAGATATATTTTATTTAACAAATTAAACAGTATGCTATAAAAAGAACGTTTTAACTTTAAAACTATTTTAAGGTTTCCTCAAAACCAAAGTCATGAGAAATTGCAATGTGTCATCTAATTTTTTGACATTTGGATTTTTAATTTATTTCTTAAACAATGAAAATTAAATGTCTTTAAATAACTTTATCAATTATTTCTAATAATTTAATAGGCAATTCTTATGTAAATTAATTCCAACAATCACATTTAACTGTCTTGTGCACATTTATGTAATTCT